CTGGATCTCACGAATGGAAGTGGAGAGCTTTTGATGATGATGGCAAAGCCGTTGAGGGTGTTTTGTAAGAAGAGGGAGGTTCTGAATGAAAGAGGGTTGGGGATTTGAATATGGATGAGTTGAATTTGTGTTTTTGTTCAGTTTGATTTATTTGAATTTGTCTTGAATTTTTTTACATTGTGATCAATATTAAATAAAAGTATTATATATATATATATATATTATATATCCCATCATTGCTCACAATACATTTCCAAATTTAGCGAAGAGTAATGCCATTGATTGAATAAATCACAGCCAAATCAAGAGGCAAGCCAAACTGGAGGCCAGCAAGCATTGACAAAGCCTCACAACCCAACAAAGTGGCAAACCAAGCACTTGATAAAACACATGACCAAACGAAGTAGTAAAAGGGTAACACAGAGACCAACCAAAGTTATAACAAACATGAACCAGCAACATAGCCAAACAAACAAAATAGACAACAAATTAGAAAAACATAATTATACTCAAAAGGTTGTATATAACACCTAAAATTTTATATTTACTGTTATAAGATATGCATGAGAATAAGTACATCCCTTTTAAAAGGATAATAATAGTATTATTTTTGAAGTGATGATTAAACTTAGTGTTAGGTGTGTAAATAAGAAAGTTTACGTGTTAATATGTCGATATATAATAAGTAAATGCCCGACAATAAATATGTAACTTTGCTAGTCCTTATCTTCCTAAACATGCTTGTGATTTTTTCAAAACTATATATAAGTAATATTTTTCATGTAATGCAAAACATTTATGCAAAAATGATAATCAATTTGAATTTGTTTGATGCCTTCATGAAAAACAAGATTGTTGATAAGATAAACAATTGTATGATTATCACAATATACAGTCATTAACCAAGTAAGAAAAAATGAAATTCTCATAGAAGAGCTTCAATCCACTTGAGTTCTCATGCAAAATATATCCTAGCTAATATTCAACTTCAATATTAAATCTTGCTGCAATCACCTATTTCTTGCTCTTTTATGTGACAAAATTTATGTGGGTTAACTTTCTTCCTTTAACAAATTCATAGCATGCATGCAACTATTGGAAAATTTCTAACCACTAAATGAGAAACTTAAAAACCAAACTAATATAAGTACTTAGAAAAAATAACATCACCATCAACCAATATGCTATGATTTATGGTCACTGGTACATCGAAGTATCAAAACCTAACAAGAGAATAAAACAACAAATTGATCCACCAGTGACCATATCTATAATAGACTTAAGAGATCCTACTAAGCCACTGTAAAAATTATGAATTATCAACCAATCAAGTTGTGCATGATGGGGAAACTACCTAAGAAGTTCCTTCAATAGTTCCCAAGCTCCATAAATCGACTCACCTTCATCTTGGCAATATGAAGTGATATCATTCCTAAGTTTAGCCATTTTTGAAGATGAGAAATATTTAGCTAGGAATTTTTAGGTTAAGTCATCCCACGTCCAAATTGATCTAGGTGCCAATGACTTCGACCACATTTTGGCTTTATCCGTCAAGGATAAAGGAAAAAGCCTAAGCCTAACAGCTTCATTGGAAACTCTATTATAGCGAAATATCGCGCAGAGTTCTAAGAGTCTCGCTAAGTGTAAGGTTGGATCCTCAGAAGAGGTTCCCCCAACCTGATTGTTCTGCACCATTTTGATGATAACAGGTTTCAGTTCAAATGTGTTAACTTCTATGATAGAGGTTTGAATGCTTAAGTGAATTTCATATGTCGTAGGGTTAACATAGTCTCTTAATGGTCTATGTCCATCATGAATGGGTCCATGGGTTAGTTCCTGAATTTCTAGATTGTTATGTGTGATATTCATCATCTCTTCTACAAGTTAGTGAAATCTTTTCTATTTTCTTATTTTCCTAATAGTTCTTTAAAACTCAAAATCGTGTGGTGCAAGTCCAGTAGGTATTGAACTATGCATACATAAATTAGAGAATCTAATAGGTGAAATTCACACACAATCACACCAAAATATTTTTGGTTTTTCTTGATTTTACAAAAATAGTAAAAATAATTTAAACACAAGTAATTAATATTAAAGGTTTTCCAAATTAGGTTCAATTAAGTTTCTCTTAAGTTAAATACATTGTCATTCCCAGGCAACAGTACTAATAACTTGATATTGCTTCCAGGTGCACTCACACTCTGGGGATTCACGCAAGTGTATATGTCGTATCAGTAACATCAGATTTTTGAGTCTGGAATGTCGATTCCATAAAGAAATAAAGAATTAGACTTAGGAAAAGTTTTAGCTTGTTTGTTTTGCTCTTAACCTGCAATTTAGATTAGATTAAAAGTTCAACAAACTAATCATAAAGTATCTAAGTTTAAGTTATAAGTCTTACAAAAATTCTACTTAACTAGGTTTTTGATTGATGAATATCATGTTCTAAAGTTACCCTCCCTTGTAATGATTTATGTGGAGTGCAGGAAATGTCATGTGTTAATTTTAAATTTTTCTAGTGACAAATAAGGCAAACTCTCTTCTTTTACCTCTCCTGAGTGCCTAAAGAAGATTGATTGAAAAACCTTTAATTCCTTTAATCCTATTTTTAGCCCAACATCCCTTATTTCCCTAATGTTTGCATCTACCTACGAAGCATATCCATCTATACTCCACATTTCAACATGACTAGCCTAGTTGATTTCACCATAGCTCTCCTGAATCTTTATGGTTCACAACACATTATAACATTTAATTTGGTCTGGATGAAAATTAAATGAAGATTTGAAGTTTAATTATCACATTAAGTAATTAAAAGTAAGTTCACAGCACTTAGCATTCTTATACATCCTATTTAATCATCACAAGGTAAGGTAAAGAGTGTTACTCAGAAAGCATGAAATACATACCACAAAGCTTCATTGAAAATAAGAGAATTCCATCAAATGATGCGTTAAAGAAATATAACAAATGAAATACACAATCACTTATCTTCCTCTCCTTTACAACAGAAGATGCTCCACCAAATGCTTCCCTTGTTGCTGCTCCTTAAGACCTTCCGTATCCTCAACTAAAGAATAAGAAGAAGAAACACACGTATACAATACTCATAGCCTTTTTCTCACTTTACAACTCAATTCCTACCAATATACTCAATATATTCCTAACTCAGACCTATCAGCAGCATACCTCATAATAACACTGATACCTCCCTTTTATAAACTCATGTACAACGTCATACAAGCCCCCCATGACCTCATATGCAACTCCTCATGACTCCCCATGTCAGGCTGCCCGAACTGCACAAACTCCTCGAAGTAGTTATTAGCGCCTAGGTGACTAGGGGTTGGCGCCTAGGTGCCAGTCTCTCCGTTTTCTGAGGGATGCATGGACGCCTTGGTTTCTAAGGGAGCAAAGCCTAGGCACTAGTATCACAAAACTTTGGTGCCAAGTGGGTGGCACCTAATCCTTGCATTTTCGGTTTGTCAGGAAAGAGACTAGCGCCTACTCTCTCGTGGGTCTGATGCTTAGGAGCCAATCCTCCATTTTGCCCCTTTGCTCCAAGCCTCTCCACACTGCTCCACTTCTAACACTTGTTGTACATGCAAGGAAAAAATGAAAATACATTTCTTTAAAGTGTAATTTCATCCATAAAAATCTACAAAACATAAAAGAATTTAATAGATTTGTTATACACATCACTCTCCCCCCAAACTTGTATTTTTCTAACTTTTCAAGTTATAACAACATAACATCTCTAACCACATTAAAATAAAATTTTAAATCACAATAACTTATAATTTTAAATCAGAATAGAAAGTAAACTTAAATCATAAAAATATAAATTTTGATCATAACAAAATATAAATATAAATCAAAATAAGATGCAAATTTAAATTTTAACAACATGCATTTCTTACTAGCTTCACATGCATATGTAATTGTGCGGTAGATCGATAGCCCCATGCACACTCACATGATTAAATATGTGTGCACTAGTTTTTAGATTTAATGGTTAGCCTTACAAGTATTCATGTTCATACAACTGACTATTATCCTTACATACCTAAGAACAAAATTATTTGAGCATGATAAAGTTGGTCTGTCTCTCACTTTAAAGTTTTAAAATCTTAGGGTGATACTTCTATTGCACAATATTGATGTATAATTGCTATAAGTTTTAATGAATTTTTTTAATGTTGGTGTTTCCGTATTGCACTTGCTATGATACCAATAATAATGTAGTTAATTCTATGCTGCGGTTTTTTGGGCTACGATGTAATGAGTTGTAAAATGTTAATATAAGATTAGGTGCCTTAATTTATGTTGTTGCTTGAATAAGATAACTTGTGATTACTAACAAGAATCCTCAAGTTGTCACACAACTAACCAGACCAAAAGCCTCTATGGACCAAAAATGATGGAACCTTGATTTGGGTTATCTCACTTAGTTGGTTAGTTCCCACATTAACATTATTTCATCAGTGCTCTTTACATTCATTTAGGTTGTAAGAAGTTTGATAAATCAACCTATGCATACACATTCAAGTGAGAGTATGGAGTTTTGATCACGCATGACTAAAACACACTTAATCAACCTATGCATACACATTCAAGTGAGAGTATGAAGTTTTGATCACACATGACTAAATTATAAGTCTCATTACAAGTGTTTTATACATCAAATAAAGAAAATATCCTTCACACCCTTCATCCAAATTTAGGATATTCATTGGTTTTGGCTCTTAAGACGACCCTTTACTCTAGATTATGAAGTCCTCTTTTGTGTGGCAATCTATAGATTGTTAATAAAAATCCTTTAATTAAGTTGCGTTAACCACCTTCTTGTTAAGTTTTGGCTTATGAAGATTGAGATGATGAATCCATAGGAGCCTTATTATATTTGTCTAACTTCACTCCATTCATCTTATGTCACCACTTGGGTCTATAATGAGCATCTATATATATCTATATATATCTATATATATGTATATATATA